TTGTTGTTACGTTTCTCTAACGCAAAAGGGTAGTTTATTCTGCCGCACTAAAAAGGCTCTGAAGATTTGTCAAACGAAGTAACAGTGGTCCACACCTTGTTATTAACAGTTCCGGATAGCTAACGACAACGCCGATAGCATGCTAGCCGTACTGAGAAAGAAGTGGCAGCGCATTGATTCTGTTTGAGTGTCTCAGATTTCATTTTCAAGTTGAGGCTCCGATTGAAGCAACAATGTGGTCGTTTGGTTTTGCGTCGTCTTGACCCAGATTCGCAACAATGAATGGAGTTGCATCCTCAACTTGACTTTGTCGCTCTCGAACTTGCGAAATTATTTTCTTATTTCATTTGGACTGTTGTCTGTTGACGATTCTTATGCAGGTTGTGAATCCTTAGTTTTCGCCAGGACGTCACCAAATCTCACCACAAGTGATGGCTGCGACACCAACATTGGTACAATGTCAAAAGCGACGAAGACACTGATTCGCATCCACAGCTGCATCCGGCGTTTTGAGCTCTGCAACCGTGATATGGATTTTGTGGCCATGACAGCAATGAACCAACTCGGCAACGTCGAGATTTTACGATAATGGCAAAAACAGAAACAAACAATGAAGTGTCAGCAACCTTGCAATAGGAGCTTCATTCAACACAAGGCAATAACATCAACGACATCTCTACAATATCAGTAGCGCGAAAGTAACTTCGGTTTGCGGCAACACCGACAAAGACCCCACCTTCGGTAGCACTTTATTTTTGAACGCCTCTTTGCTTTAAATTGTTATTTAGATGTGTTTAATTACGATTTGATTATGCTTGTGTTGTTTTTGTATTACTCATCGTGTATATCAGATTGTCAATTATGTCATGTTTTGGTAGCCATGGTGTATCTGCGTTCTAATGTGATATCTTGAATTTTTTTCAATACTATATACAATCACCTTTGTCTCTCCTCAAACACATGATTTTAGAAAAGTAGAGCTTCTCAGAGGCAACAATTCCGCACAAACTCTACGGGGCAGCTCTAAACAACAACAATTCAAGGCACCGACCGATTTACCAAAGCCTGTCACGACAACTTGACGCTGTTTTTTAATGTTTTTTTCGGTTTGATTTCGGTTGCAAATTAAGGTATCATGTATCCTTCACAAGTTCTATGTGTTTTGCTTCTTGAGTCCCATTGTGCGTGCAAGTTGCGGACTCATACCGAAACTTGGAAAAACTTCCAAGTTGTTTAGTAGCTCATTGTGTAATTTTGGTTCTGCTTCAATTTATTTTGAAGAAAAGTCAATTTAATATTGATTATTATTTTTGACTTTGTTGTTTAGTTTTGTTAATAAATTTTAATTAACTTAATTATTTGAGTTAATCGAATAATTTAGATAATTAATTTTGATTAACATAATTAATTAATTGAATTCCAAATCATTTAATGCTTTTAATCAATTTTAATTAATTTAATTATTTGATCACATTAGTTTTTAATCAAATAATTTTAATAATTAAATTAGATTAAGCAAATTAAGTGGTCCAATAATCTTTTCTCATGTTAGCTTCGAAGTGGGCCAAGACCGAAAGATTCCTAAATTCAAGTTAATGTTGTCGGTATGCACTTACGTCCGTGTTATGTCTCCCTATTCGATAATAAGGTATCCCTCTCCCTCCAAATGTAATAGTTATTTTCTCACTTATGCTTTAATGCTTCAAAATCATTTTTTAAAAAAAAAAAATTCTCGATTAGTCGAGTCATTTTCACCCATGTAAGTCGAGTGCTTTCAAAGTCTCGCCATCGACCTTTGATCACCATACACAACATTTTAAAGCTTAATCCTGGGCTTCCTTACAGTGATATCTATTTGATCAACTACTTCTAGTTAGTCACTTAGAAGACTAGCCCACTTTGCTAGTGTACACGTTTAAAATTCAAATTCAAACCTCGACTCACCTTGAGTATTTTTCAAAGCAAACTAAATTCTTGAAGTCTAGCACTTCTTGGGTTTTTGGACGAACATTATTGAGGTGTACACCTTAAATAATATGTCGTTCTACTTTTCGTTTAGTACGCTATTTTGGACAAAGAAATATCATAGGAATCTAGCATTCTGTGTGATATTTTCGTTGTTCATCCAAACATTTTCCGAATAAAAAAGGTGTTATTAGGATCTAGCATCCAAATGATACCCCGATTAAGTTAGTTGTGAGGCTGACGTCTCATTTACTAAATAATTGTCAATTTTCAAATCCAATCTCGTATTCTCCTACCTCATTTCAATCCAAATTATTTTCAAACATTCTCCTAAGTCGAATGCTCGTACGCATTCGCAACCCACATTTCGCACACACCTCACGACTCATCGTGGTTTCGATATTAGGGGCACCCTTAGGGACTAATATCGTTTCTCACCTCTTAACCCTTGACACGTCGTCAAGTCGGTTCCATCTTCAATCAAATCCTCGACACGTCGTCGAGACATTTTCAAACAATTTCCTCTTTGCCTCGCATTCCACTTCTGATTCAATCTTTTCACAAACATTTTTTTTTTAAACTTACGAAGGAGGGATATTCTTAGAATCTAGCATTCTTTGAGTATTCGAATGAGTAACTCTCGAGGCGTGCTCTTGAGTTGTTATTAGTTCATTCTTTCGATTTCAAAGCATTCAATCCTCTATCTCTAACTCTTTTCAACCCAATTTCCGAAAGAATAGAGTTCTTGGAATCTCGCATTCCTTGAATTCTCGAGTGACAAGCTCTTGAGGCACGCTCTTGGGTTGCTTGTCAGTCACCCTTTCGTTCCTCAACTCAAACTTCCAACCCACTTCAACCTCATCTTTTCGTGGTTGTTACCACGAACTACGGACGCCCTGATTCTTCATTCTCATATGAATGTAAGATACGTAGGCACAAGATCGTGATGATCTTGGCGAGCACACTTCTATCCATCTTCTGTTTTCCCCCATCCTTTCCCGTAGTCGAACTACGACGCTCTGATTTCTCATTCTCGTCCGAATGAGCATACGTAGGCACAAGGGCCCCAATCCTTGGCGAGCACCCTATCTTCTAACCACCCATCTCTCCTTAGCGTCTTTAACCTTTTAACCTATCAATTCTACCTTTATCATCGAGAAGAAAACAAGTAAACCTAAACAACACTCCTCACAATTACCTTAAGAGGTTCCCATTGAGTACAACGGACGTGAGGGGTGCTAATACATTTCCCTCACGTAACCGACTCCCGAACCCGGAACTTGGTTGCGACAGCCATGTTCCTATCCTTTTCGTTTTTAAGAGGTTTTCTCGATATTTTCCTCTCTCGTTTATTCGGGAAAAATAAAGTTCGGTGACGACTCTGTCGAACCGCATTTTCCGCGCCTTTCGCGCGAGGGTCGTTTCTCCGAAATGGCTCCGTAATTTTTCGAGGTGCGACACTAGTCTTGAGTTCAACCATACTTCTCAATGACTAGAAAAAAAACTTATTTTATAATAAAAGAATTTAATCAAATATATGTAACTTTTTAAATTTCATGTACAATCAAAATAAACTATTCTTTATGATGTTTTGATATTTGACAAATCAATTATCAATATTTAATATTTTTGAATTAAAAAATATATATTATAATAAAATATTAATTAGTTTATAATAATGATTAATATGTTTTATTTGTTTATAATAGTGATTGAAGGAACTATGAATATCCTCATTGGTAAAAACAATTGAAGGAAATATGAATATCCTCATTGGAAAAAACCAACTATTTAGAATATGCCTTCGTCAAAAATGATGGTAAAAAATAATGATGCCATAATATTAATGCAACATTGACATGATTTTGGGGGAAAAAATCAATTTGATAAGTCAATTAGAATTCATGCATGGATTTTTGGGACAAAACTTTCCTCAAAAATAGTTATATTAGGAGTAAAATTATTTTTTTCTAAGTATTACTCCCTAAATCTTTAATATAAAAAAATTTACATTTAAAATTTATTGATAATCAACATATTTAATCTATATATAAATTAGATTTATTACTTATTTCAGAAATTAAATATTTTTTTTCTTATAATAGAAACTAAATAATAATAGATTATACACCATAATTCTAATCTTATAGATGTTTTTATGAATTTATTTCCATTATTACTATTTTTTTGACAAGATTTCATTATTACTATTTAAATAAAATAAACTAAAATATATTCTATTACCCCAAAAAAACAATATGTATAAACTATATAATCTATAAAGTGCTTGTTTTTTGTGTGGACGGTGCATATAAAGATTGCAATTATTTCAATACACCTTTTAAAAAGGGTTTTTAATGGAATCATGATTTTTTTTTAATATACTTTTTACATAATCCACATGTTTATATTTCTGTTAAACCATTTCAATCAATAGCGGTGCAAGAACAGTGATAAATACTTAAATTTGAATTTGTAACATTTTATTTATTTATTTTTAAAAAGATGAATTTTAATCATTAAATAATTTGAGAAAAACACAAATTTAAATATAGAAAAGGTGAATCAAGAAGTTATTTTCAAAGATTTTTTATAAGAAAAAAAAAGTTAAAATTTATTATTTTTGGATTGAAAAGTTAAAGTCTTTTTTGACTTGCATGAAAACAATAAAATGAAATAAACAACAACCAAAAACAAAATAAAATAAAGGGTAAAATTGAGAAAGTACAAAAAGCCATTACTTTGCATGTGATGATTATAATATTATATATACTTGTGATTTCATCTTTTCTTTCATTCTAAAAAACCCAATCCACTCTTTTTCTTCTCTCTACAAACTGAATATTCCTCTTTTTATTTTCTCCTATAAATTCATCATAAATTACTCATACATTACACCAATTTCACGAACGAAATTCCCTTTCTCAGTTTCAATTTTCATAATCTGTTTCGCGATTCTCAAGTTTTTCGATTTTGAGGTGAATTGATTGAAAAAGGGGAAAAGATTTGATCTTTGAATCAGGCGTGTTTTCGGTATGAGACTAAGCGGAGAATTTTCGAGCGGTGAAGAGGAAGAAGTAATGGAGAAATCTGAGGTCGGCACGACGCCGTTTTTGGAACAGAGAATTGTTGTTGGGTATGCGTTAACGGCGAAGAAGAAGAAAAGCTTTCTGCAACCGAATTTCATTTCTCTTGCAAGGTATTTTCAATTTTTATTTTTTCACCTTTTTTTTCTTCTTTCTTTTTGTTGTTGATTATTTCATGTGTTACACGTTTTGGTTCTTATTTTTTAAAGTGGCTTTCTTTTAGTGGTGGGGTTCATGGTCACTCATAGTGTTTTTTAATTTTCTTATTTTGTTATTGTTCTTTTAAATTTCTTGTTAATATACTTGCCAAATTGATTTTTGATCATGCTTCAATATTTTTCTTTGCTATGAATCACCTCAATACAAACACTCTGACGCAAAGACACCAACACTGACACAACATTGAAAAAAAAAATTAAAGTCAATAACATAATGACAAGTGTCATTTTCGAATGACACTGATATAGACACATTGACACCCGGTAAAATTTTAAAAAATGAATAAATTAAATGTAATTAAAGATAAAACTGATACCGACACAATTGGACAGAGACGAACTTTTTTTCTTTTTTTAGAGATGTCAGAGCTAGTGTGTTTCTTTGTAATTTTATGGGAATGAGGTTAGTTTCTTTGTAATTTTATGGGAATGAGGTTAGTAAGACTAAAAATTATATGTAATGCAGGAGCAAGGGGATATACTTTGTTGCTATTGATGTGAACAAGCCACTGCCAGAACAAGGTCCATTTGATATAGTCTTGCATAAGGTTTGTGAATGTTATGTTAGGTTTCTTTCCGAATTTTATCAGTTTTTCGTGGGTGTTTATACTTATTTATTTGAAAGTTTTCATTTATGTTTTTACTGAATTTGTAGCTCAGTGAGTGGAACTAATATCTGACCGGTTGTTTGTTCTTTTTCAGTTGTCCGGAGAGGAATGGCGTGATATTATCGAGGTTTGTTAACTTGACGCACTTCAACTCACTTTTACGTTGTGTACATGTAATGTAATGTTAAGTGGTTTTGATTTCTCTTTTACTTCTTATAACATTCATGGCATTGTATGAAATCGTTAGTATAGTTAATTTCGGAGTTTGAGTATGAAGATGATTGGCTGGACAACCACATCTTCTGGATACTCCAAAGCTTTCTGCAACCGAATTGCATTTCTTTTGCAAGAGTTCTTTCTGTTCTCATCATGAATCATGATAAGATAGTTGAAATCTGTCCCCCAATATTCAATCAAGTGAGGATTTACTTTTATGGCATAACTTTTTTGCCTGAATAGATTTGCTTGATAGTTCCACGAGACAATAAATTACAATATTGGTTTTTTTATTTAACCTTAGTGCTAGTTGTCCATAGCTCACCGAAAATATGTAATTTACTGATTAGTGATTGCCTCATGGTTGCTAATTCTTCATAAAGTTTGTATTTTGATGATGCTGATTCGGCTTTTTCCCCTTTTCCATTATTGAAGGATTTCAGGCAAAAACATCCCGAAGTAATTGTTCTTGATCCCCCAGATGCAATTCAACATTTACACAATCGCCAATCCATGCTTCAAGATGTGGTGGATCTAAACTTATCTGAGAGCAACGGTAACTTATCTCCATCTGAAAGTTTTTGGGTTGTGCATAATCTGTAATAAAAAGTATTGTAAATTTACAATCATTAGTTTCAAGCTCTTATATTCGGTTTCTTGCTTCAAGATATTTCCTTTTCGTTTTTCCAAATTGATGATGTATTAAGTACTGCTGTTTTTTAGGCAAGGTTGGCATCCCTAGTCAGCTAGTCATCACAAAAGACAAAGACTCATCTACTATTCCATATGAAGTCACCAAAGCTGGGTTGAAGCTGCCATTAGGTATGTATGTATGTTTTTGTTTCCCGAGTTTTAATTTCGAGAATATATCTGGTTATTACTTACTATATCAGTTACTACTATTGGCACCTATTCTATAAACCAAACATTGATGGGTTCTGAATGAGTAGCTCAGAATAGTGTTGCTAAATAGCAGTGATAAAAGCACTGTATTGTAGCAAAATTTGAACAAATCGCTATTGCATCACGACTATTTAGTACAAAATGTTGTCAAATAGCGGCACTACTGTGTAATGAATTTTGAACAAACTTCTATTTTTTGTGATCTGCCATTGTCATCACTGGCTCAAAATATTTGAGTGGACTGAAACGAATCATATTGCATTGGATATTTCAAATATATTGTCATCTTTCTTATGTGTATTGAAGTGTTTTTGTTTTTTTCTTTTGAATTTTCAGTTGCGAAACCTCTAGTTGTGGATGGCACTGCAAAGTCGCATGAACTCTTTCTTGCTTATGACGAGTTCTCTCTTTCAGAGCTTCAACCTCCTCTTGTACTACAAGAGTTTGTGAATCATGGTGTGTGATCTGATTCATACTCCGCTATTATTCTGTATGTAAACTAACATTTTGTTTATCTAAAATCTCGATTTTCTTACTTTTAATTTCGGACATTGAAGGCGGTCTTCTCTTTAAAATCTACATTGTTGGGGAAAGCATAAAGGTTGTGAGGCGTTTCTCTCTTCCTAATATCAGTAAACGAGAGCTATCAAAGGTCGCAGGTGTATACCGTTTTCCAAGAGTCTCGTGTGCAGCAGCTTCTGCAGATGATGCTGATCTAGATCCTAGTATCGCCGGTAAGATTCCATAAATTTCCCCTCTCCCACCACCACCACCACCACCACCGTAAAATGCAACATTTCAACTTACTCTGACGCTTTTTTTACAGAACACCCACCAAGATCTTTGTTGGAAAAGCTTGCAAAGGAGCTTCGACATAGATTGGTATCACATTTATTTACAACCCTTACTTTCGCAACCGTTTTTTATTCCTAGATGATGTACTACTACTAAATTGTAACGCCATTTATAGGGACTTCGTATGTTCAACGTAGATATGATTCGAGAATACGGGACCAAGGATGTATTTTATGTCATTGACATCAACTACTTTCCAGGCAAGTATTACTTATCTGCATTCCATTGTTTTGGACATAAATCAATTTTTTTTATGTTTTTAACTTTCTGTTTTATGGTTTTACCAACTTCAGGGTATGGAAAAATGCCGAACTACGAGCCTGTATTTACGGATTTTCTACTTAACCTAATGCAGAACAAATGTAAGAAGAAACTCACTGTCTAAAGCCAGAACAGTTAGAAGGACCGGTTGCATTTAACAGAATATTTTCTGTTTTCTTTTCAGTTTTTGTTAATTAATACGAAAATATCACCGTTTTCATTTTATTTCCTCAAATATTTATGAAGGAAACATATTTGATGTTTTCATTGTTTTCTTTACAAATATTTAAAGGATAGGAAATAAAATAAAAAAAAGTGATATTTTTATTATTATTAACAAAAACAAGAAATAAAAACAATAAAACATTATTTTTACTAAATAGGTCATTAGATTAGACAAATGAAATAGAATGTTGATGATTAGTGGCTTTCTTGTAAGTTGAAGAACATTACACTGTTAACAAGTTTGTCTACAAATTGGCATGGAATGTCAATGAAGCTGCCAAAATATTCGATAGGATGGAATGTGTTTGTCTAATCTCTCTATGTATATCACTCGACCAAAAGTGCTTTTGTTGTGAGTTTTGTGCTTGTGCAGATTATGATTAGTAGTGCAAATTTTGTATGCTAAATAAGAAGATTCATGTTTCATATGTGAGAAGTCCTATAAATATATGAAATGCCATATGCAATAATGGCAGTTAGCTGACCAGTGTGTTAAAATTCTCCAACTTGAAATCAAGTCTTATTGCAGAATGTAAAAGGAGGGTGTATTTATAGATCTAAAGACAATGAAGGGAGGAAACCCAATTATATACAAAAGCAGATAACAACTTAGCCCTATAAATGTGCAAGGCCTAACTGAAAGCTGTTATGGCTGTAACAGAAAATGAAATAACTAAGTAAATAAAGAAAATGAAATAACCAAGTAAATAAAGAAAATTAAATAAAGATACTATGTTATAGTTTCCATACGTAAGACACTCCCACAAGCTAGACTATGAATATTGAGTTGTCTAATCTTGGAAATGTGAAACTCTCGGAAATATAAACTCAAAGGTAGGTTTTGTATAACGACTTTGTTAAGAAATATGCAATTTAAGTGTGAGTACTTATAGGAAAAAGTTTGATAAGGCCATCTTCAATCTATTCATGAATGACGTGGATGTCAATTTCGATGTGTTTTGGCCTCATGAAATGAGGGATTATGAGTTGGGTAGATAGCAGAGCTAGTTATCCTTTGCTCAAGTTAACCGAATTATATATTGAAAAGATTGTTAGCTTGTATGGTATTTCATTGAGTATTGCGTCGGATAGAGATTTGAGGTTCACGTTGAGGTTTTGACAGAGTTTGTAAGAAGTCTTGGGTACTAAACTAAAGTTGAATTCTTCTTATATTCGCAGACAAATGGTTAGACGAAGAGAACCGTCTAATCCTTGGAAGATCTATTAGGGCTTGTGTGCTAGAATAAAGAGGTGCTTGGGATATCTACTTGTCGCTGATTAAGTTCACTTACAATAACAGTTTCCATTCAAGTATCGGGATGACACCGTTTTGAGGCATTATATGGTAGGTGTAGGACACCTATGTATTGGTATGAATCAGGCAAGAATGTTGTGCTTGGATTTGGGATTGTGCATCAAACTTTTGAGAAGATCAAGATGATCCAAGAGAAGATGAAAACTTCGCAGAGTTACCATGATAAGAGGTTGAACACACTTGAGTTTCAACAAGGGGATCATGTGTATTTGAGAGTTATTCTGATAACTAGCGTTGCCCGAGCTTTGAAATTTCGAAAGTTCACGCCACGTTTTGTTGGTCCATATCAGATCTTGTAGAGGATATGAGAGGTAGCCCATCAGATTGCCTTGCCGCCATCGCTTGCTAATCTTGATGATGTGTTTCATGTGTCTCAGTCGAGAAGATACATTTTGTATCTGTCTCATGTGATCCAAGTGAATGTACATGTGAGAGAGAACCTGACTGTTAAGGCATCGCCCATGCGGATAGAGAATCGGGAAGTGAAGCAATTGTGTGGTAAGGAGATTGTATTGGTAAAGGTAGTGTGGGGAGGACCAGCTTGTGTAAGCTTAACTTGGGAGTTGGAGAGGCAGATGAGAGAGTCGTATTCGACTCTGTTTCGTTCAGGTAATTTTTGAGGGCGAAAATTTTTTAAGTGGGGGAGAGTTGTAACATCCAAAATTCGATTAATTGTTTTAATTGAATTATTTAGATTTTTATTTAATTATTTGGTGTTTGGTATGCCTTTAAAGAAATTATGTGATCATATGTGTTGATGAGGTATAATGATATTGGTAGGAGTGGTGAGAATGTGGGTGTTTGGTATAATAATTAACAATAACTAGAAATTAGAATAATTAATATTTTTAATTAATAGAAATAAAATGGAAATTGGCGGCTTTATGTTAGAAATTATTTAATTAATTAAATTAAAAAGAAAATATGAGTTAGTAGAGGAATCAAGGGCAATTAGGAGATTTAGAGAGTAAGTCAATGATAGTAAGGGAAATGCCTAAATGTGAGAACTAGGCCATAATTATAAATAGAGGAGTGTGGGAATTGAGAGAAGTTTAAAGTACGTGAAATATGGGAGTTGGAGGAAAAGTGATAAGAACACATCTAGGGCTTAAGGAGAGAAGAACAAATTTCGATTAGAGAGCTTGCTGCTGAAAAATCTAAGGTAAAGGGAGAAAAAGGACTTTCACTATGGGTGTATTACATGATAGGGTAGAGAATACATGTCCTTGATCTCATTAGGGGTTGTATGATTCTGTTTTTGATGTGTTATTATTGTTGTGTGAAAATCTAAGAAATTGATGATTGAATGTGCTTGATTATGTGATTGTGTGACTGAAAATATGTACGAATCATTTGTTTGTGAATACATGAAATTCTGCCATTGATGAATGTATGAAGCTTTGATCAAAAGTATGAATGTTGGTGATATTGATGATTTAAATGTATGACAAAATTTCATGAACCATGATTGATAAGGTATTGTAATATGTTTCATTGTTGTGATAATATGGTGTATTGTTAAATTCGTTTCATGGGGTAATTGAAAGTGAAAATTTTGGTTGTGGTGATGTATGAATGATAAGGGATAAAAGGGATGGATATCATGTGTTTAAAATAGAGTTTCCTGGAAAAAGTTACTAGTGACAATCGATTGCACACGTTGCATTTTTGAAAAAAAATGTCAAATGATTGCTGGTTCCAATTAATCGATTGCACAGCCTTTTGAAGCGATTTTTAAAAAACTCAAAGTGTGATTGATTTTGATGATAATCGATTGTTGTAGGCCAACTTTTGAAAAATTCTATTTTGAACTATGTTGCATTGCCTGACGATTTTGTCCATAACTTTAGTTTCGTAGGTCAAAATGAGGTTTAGTTTCAAGTGTTGGGAAGGTAACGCGCAGAGCCACCTCCACTACAAGAAAACAACGGTTTAGCTGTTAGATGACATCAACTTGTCTAGAGGAGGGAGGGGGTGAATAGACACCCAAGTCAAAATCACCAAATAAATTTTGGGTTTTTAAAGTTGTTAGAAAAAGAGAGCACGCAGAAGGTTTTGGTATGGATCGATAAAAGTCGTCTATATGAACCTAGTTATTAGAAACTCGAATATATAAAGCCAAGTATGGAATGACAAATACAATAATCAAATTCAACCTTTAATCTAGTATCACGTTATTACTCGTTTAAACTAATTACTTAGCAATGCTATTTCCAGTGATAATGAGCAAAAATATTGAACTATGCAATTTATCAAACACTTGGTGTGCAAACGAATTTTTGGAATTTCCTTTGTGTTGTTGTTGATATGAAAACTACTTATAATCAAAAGTGATTATAAGCTAATCAAAAATCAAGTTAAAATAGAAAGATTACAGAAAAACTCATTCGAGTCGATCGATCGTTCAATGCTATTTGATAAATTGCGTAATGAAAAATAAAACTAGTAAAGAGATAAGAGAGAGATCGACACGAGGATTTGTTCACGCAGTTCCCCACTTTCGTCCTCGCATGTGGGTACGTCTACGCCTAATTTTTAATGTGGAATTAGGATATTTTCTTACTATGCAAAAAGTCGATATACAAAAAAAGTGTTCAGAGCAACCATACAAACACAACCAGTTCTGATGTTGATTAAGACCAAGAAAACAATGGATGCCAATTGACTTGTCGATATTGCTACTCTGTTGTATTCTTTATATCCAAAGCTTTTGCACACGATTAATTGCACCGATTGTTCCATAAGACTTCAATTCGATTCGCCATTCTCTGCTACTTCCTTTGCGTTCTTTATCCCCAAAAGGTACTTTGCGTTCTTTATCTCCAAAGGCTTTCACAACGTCACAATCCTCTCTTGAACGTCTTACACAAAACCTCTAAATCTTCACTCGATCTTGGAGGACAAACTCGCGGTTTTTTTGGATGAAAACCCTTGCAAATCTCAACCCAATATCTTGACTACACAAGAACCTAATTGGACCTTATCAGGCCTTCACCTAGCTGGAACCCCAACAAAAAGATTATCATGTGTGATTTGTCAGTGTGTAGACATAGGATGGAGGTTGAAGATGATGAGCAAATGCAGACTAATTTTATGGTATCATCAATTTAGAATGAATCATGAATGATATATTTATAATTTTGGAAGTTTGATGAAAAATAGGTAATTTTCCGAGTAGAAAAAACCTAAACTGACTAACTTAAACAACATGTGTCGGCCTGAACTTTGGATGTGTCGGCACATACTGTCAAAAATAACAGCATGTGACGACCTAAAATGACCTACGTGCCTACCTAACTGAATCAAAACCTACAACGTTATTTAGGACAGTAGATGTGTCGTCATGAAACACGTATGTGCCGACACATAATCGGGAAACTTCCAGTATGTGCCGACTTGAAGAAGGTATGTGTCGACAAATTGGTCACCATTTATATTGTATTTCCGTCACTTGTTCGACATTTCATCCACGAATTGGTAATGCTTGTTTTAGTTTTTTTATTTGTTTCTGAGTAAATTCTACTGTTTTTATGTTTTTCTTGAATCTTATGTTTTCTAGTGATTATGTCATGTTTTATGCATAC